TAAAATGTTAAAGGACTCTTCTTTTGTAAACAAAGTTATAATGTTGGTTTCTGAGGGGTGTTTGTTTGGACTGGCTGTGAAAAGCCTGTATTGGAAATGTCCGTGATTGGTTAAATAAAAGGGATTAGATAATGGTGAGATGAAGCTATATTATATAAATGCAGGTTTCTTGGGAGCATTGAGGAAGGGGGAGGGGAAAGCACTGGGAGGGGGTAGGGAGAAAAGGGGGAAAGGGCAGAACCAAGATATCTGGATTATACAGTGAAGGGCCTCTGGGAGAGAAGCCCCGCCCCTAGGCAGAGGGCAGGTTATGGCAGCCACGCCCTGCAGCAGGTAGGGACTTTAACACCCCAGCCTTTTGTTGATAATAATGGTGAGTGGGAGAACAGTCTTTTCTTTTTGCTTCTGGCTGACATTGGGGGCGTTAATTCGGGAGGAGGGGGCATAAAGCTGGAATGTTGGCCAAGTCCAAGAGCTGGCTGTTCTGTTTGCTGTCCAGGTCTGAGAGACCCTCTGTGGCTAGGAAACTGCAGGTCCAGCTGATGCAGTCTGTGAGCTTTAGGCTGGAGCCCGAGTTCTGGACGCAGCTCTTGGGGAAACAGGATGCTGGGACATGTATGTGTTAGGGGCAGGCTGTTGCCTGGCAGCACTTATGTGGAGCCTGACCTGTGGGTTCCACTGGATCTCCGGAAGCTGACAAGAATCTTCTAAACTTTACGAAAAGAGACAAATTGGCTTGAGGGACGATTTAAAACATGATTAATGTTAAAGCTCTGAATAGTCTTAATACAGAAACAGTAGCATAGTGGGGGGGAGAGTATATATATATATACACTTTCTTATCACCAACCTTACAATACCTTCTCAGACCCTCAAACATTTCACCAGAAGCTCAGACCTTACACAAACTGTACCTTTTTGAGAGGGCAGCTGAAGCCTTTGTTTCTGCTGTTAAGCTGATCTTTAAACCCATCAGAGACCTAAGCAGGATAAATTACCACAGGAAGCTTAAGCCGAGTGGCCTGTGTATTGATTACTATGACAGAGGCTAACTAACACAGACGGCCTTCCCATTAAATTGCTGTGTCAGTGGCTCTTGGGGGCACAAGTCCTGGGGCAGCATCGCAGCCGTGCCCTGCAGCAGGCAGGGACTTAGCAGTCAGGCCATATGTCATTTTTATTATTTTGACCCTCAGTGAGCACTACTTACTCTCTTTGACAAGGTGCCTTAGGAAACATACTGTGTCTTGTAAGCACTTTTGGCCTTCTCCATGGTTGCTGAACTCAGAAGGAAAAATAAACCTGAACAGGGTCCAGGACCTGTTTTCTTTCTTTTCTGCTCTCTGTATAGTGTTCCTTTAATTCTTCCTGCCTTTTTGCCCTGTCTCACATATCTTTTCCTTTTGTATGTTGAAATAAAAATAAATAAATAAAAAGGCAACTTATGAGGAAAATAAAACCTCATTCACACCCTTCCTCTATTTTTTAAGCTTTGTTCTAAAAACATATTCTCCTACTCTCATCCTTTTAACATCCCCCCCCCCCCCCCGAACATCGCAGAATGACCATTTGGGCTTCTCTGAAGATATTTCAGTTATGCCACACATTGCGCGGGCATTGAGGCTCTGTGACACCCTTACTTTTCATCCTTCACTTCTTTAAAGCCAGTACTATATGGATGGCACTCAAGTTTTGCTGGCAGTTCTTATGGCGCCTCTGAGGCTTGCAGCCACAGCTCTGCCAGGTGCAGTGTTCTGCTCAGGTGCCTGCTGTCCCAGTGTGGCTGGAGGTTTATGCTCCAGTGATGCTGGTCTCAAATTACAGTTCCTTTCTCAGCCTTTGTGTCTTGCAAGTTCCCACAGGCATGGCCCCTTGAATTAACTCTAAATCATTCAAGGGATTTTTTTAAACCAAAAGTTCAAAACTCCTCTATTTTCCTCCTTTATAAGTCAGAGCTCTTTGAAGGAACAGAACTGATAGGATGGACACACACACACCACAATTTATTGGAGTGGCTTACAGGCTATGATCCAAGCAGTTTAACTGTGGCTGTCTCCTGATGGAGAGGCCAGGGAACCAGTACTTGTTCAGTATGTGGGACTGGACATCAGCAGTCCTAATGTGGTGCTGGAGTGCCAGGAAAATCCTAGAGAGCCTCCGGTTTTCAGTCTACATTGGAATCCCAAAGTAGCAGGCTTTAACACCAATAAAGGAATGAATGCCTCAGGAGCAGGATAGATGGATTTCCCAGGGAAACTTCAAGTAAGCAGGTTAAAGGAAAAAGCTTCCTCCTTCCATTCCCTTTTATGTGGACTGCTACCAGAAATTGCCACTCAGATTTAAGGCGGGTATTTTACCTCAAACAATCCAACTTAGAAAGATATCTTAGGGCTAGAAAGATGACTCAGAGGTTAAGCACTGCCTGCTCTTCCAGAGGCCCTGAGTTAAATTCCCAGCTACCACATGGTAGCTCACAACTATCCATAATGAGATTTTCTGCCCTCTTCTGGAGTGCAGGCATACATGCAGGCAGAGCACCATACGTGATAAATAAATAAACTGTAAAAAGAAAAGAAAAATCACAGCTTGGGTTTTAGTTATTTCTAGATATAGTCAGGTTGACAACCTAGATTAGCCATCATAAGTCCACCCCTTATCAACCTGAAACACAATCATCTCTTTATGTATTGCTGAAAATATAAATAAAAACAATAGTCAAGTCAGAATTACACCCAATATGATAAAACCATCCCGTATACAACCACAAATGCAACTTCATATTTTAGAATAGATGGCAATATTCCTTGAAGGACATTCTAGAGTGTCTTACAACTACTGACATCATTTCAATTGGAGTTACATTACATGATAAAGATATGGCGGGAAGAATACAAGTATTTGTTTAATATATTTATATTTATATTTATATTTATGCACAACAATATTACCAAAATAGGACAGAAACGCTTAAGCTTCTTTTCTACCACTGTAAAGAAACATCAGGACCAAGGGAACTTGCAGGAGAGTTTATTGAGATTTGACAGCTCCAGAGTTTGAGTCCGTGACCATGGTGGAGAAACAGGTCAGCAGGCAGGCATGGTATTGGAGCAGTAGTTAGAGCTTACGTTTTTTGAGATAACAACCACCAGGCAGAGAGAGCCAGTGGTATGGGATGGGCTTTTAAAACTTCAAAGCCACTCCCATTGACACACCTCCTCCAACCGGGCCACACCTCCTAGTCCTTCCCAAACAGATCCAGTATGTGGGGACCAAGCATTCAAATATATGAACATATCAGGGGCCATTCTCATTCAAATCATCAGTCCTCCCTAAATCAGTTTTAAAGACTAAAGAACTACATAGTCCAATTTATAGCAGCAAAAGCCTTTTTTTTTTTTTTTTTTTTTTTTTTTGGTACTAATTTCTGACATTAGGTTACTTATTACTGTAGTAAAATACCCCTACTGAGGCAAGTTAAGAACAAGTTTTCTTCTCTGGGTCACTGATCAAAAGTACCCCATCATGGGGTGGGGTGGGGGTGGGAGACAAGATAGCAGGGGCTTGAAGCAACTGATCAAATTGTCCACAGCCAGGTTGCGGGGGTGGGGTGGTGGGGTGTTAACACTGGGCATATCAGGGTTGTGTGCGGTGTGCGCGTTCCTGCCCGTAACTAAGATGGCTGTTCTACTATCAGCGAACACAATCGGAGCATCTTCCCCAGATCTTCTCAAGCTCACCTTAGTGGAGATGAGAACACAGAGGTGTTGCCTGGCTTAGCTCCCAGAAAGCTCTAGGTTCTGTCAAGTGACAGTCAGCACTAACCATCACACCTCTTAGGTTTGTCTTAGTAATTACAGAACCTCGTGTATGTCTGTGAAGGGTCACATTGGGGTGAGTAAGGTGGTTCTAAGAACAGGTGCTGTTTTTTGTTGTTCGATTATGTTCCCAATAAAAATAATAATTTATCAGAAAATTTATTACCCTAACCAATCTTGTATAAGTTTTTGTATTATTGCCGTGACTATTTTTTGTTGTTGTTTTTTGTTTTTAAGACAGGATTTCTATGTGTAGCCCTGGCTGTCCTAGAACTCACGGTGGAGACCAGGCTGGCCTCCAACTCAGAGATCTGCCTGCCTCTGCCTCCCAAGTGCTGGGATTAAAGGCATGAGCCACTACTGCCTGGCTTGAACCAGCTTCTTAAAGTTCATTATTCAGAAAACATACTGAGTCTAATCAAGTGGCTTCTCTCTGATAACCATATGGAAATTGTAGTATGGATTCTGACAGCTGACAAATGATATAAAAGTGACAGAGGGTTGGCATCAACTGTTTAGGCAGGCCACATTATTTTTACAGTTTCACAAGAGGAGGAATCACTCTGAATCACAGTTCCCAAATGCTAAGATAAATGGAATCTTTCCTTCACCATTTTTAAGACTATGACGTCTTGGGACAGCTAATATTGGATTTTCTCTGGGACATTAGGTGGTCAGAATTTGTTATAACAGTTGTTACAGTGACCCAGTGGACAAAGAGAAGTTAGCACAACTTACGAGGGCAAAGGTTGTCCTATTCCGCTGTTGCTTTACAGACTGTTCCAATCTACAGTCATAGTTAGTGTATTAGAGATCTTAGTATACATGAACACTATGAGAACAGTGACCAAGCCAGCTTGAACATACAAGAACACAGTGTCACAATGACTTCCTAAGAAGTCCAGAGCTCTGGTACTGTGAGGCTCATCCATGTGGAAACACGTGTGCTCTTTCAGGACTCAGTGACCTTTGAGGATGTGGCTGTGCATTTCACCACGGAGGAGTGGGCTTTGCTGGATCTGTCCCAAAAGGAGCTCTACAAAGATGTGATGAAGGAAATATTGAGAAACATAGTCTTTATAGGTAAAGCCATCACCATTCTCATAATAGGTCAATCAAACAAAAGTGTTTCTCATCCATCATTGCTGCTGCATGAACTGAAATATGGTAAAGGAACAGTTGGGTATACTTACCTGACAGGGAGACACGATGAGCAGGAAGAGGTTTTCCTAGAGTGAGGCTCATCCATTGTACTTGGGGTGTGCTGACCCCTGAGATTTCCCTAAATTCGGAAAGCTTGAGTGCATAACCAGTGGTAGTGGGGGCTGCGTTCCCACTTTGCTCTGGGGGGAAAAAGAAGGGAGAAACGGTGGGTGAATGTGTGGGATGGGATTACTTTATATCATGAGTGTAGTTGGAATCTACTAATGTTTTTAGGGTAATAACATGATTCATAACGATTTATCTTGATCTGTATTTTAGGAAACGTAAGGAAACACCAAAAGATTGAATATGAATACCAAAATTCTGGGAGAAAACTAAGGTAATCCAGGTTCCTCAAGGTTTATGGTGCCATAGGACATTTTACAAAGAGGTAAAAGATACAAATATGCCAAATTTCAATCTGAGTTGATCCCAGGAAGCTGCTGCCAAAATTGCCAATATGTTTCACATCATCAGTAAGAACATCTCAGATATTCAAGCACTGGAAACAACTGGAGTATCATGATGCCAGGAGACTGAATCAGACTTTGTATGTACAAACTTTACATTATGGAAAATGAAATATGAGTTTATCTGCAATCTTAGGTATGAGGTGCATATGAAACAAAATAAGATTTCTCTTAGACAGGAGCTAATAGCAGAGATAACACATACAGGTGGGTCACACCTTTAATCTCACCACCTGGGAGTCAGAAGCAGGTAGATCTCTGATTTAGAGGGAAGCCTGATCTGCATAAGTGAGTTTCAGCTCACTTGTCACTACCAAACAATAACAACAACAACAAACAAACAGAAACAAAAAGATAACTCAATATGGACATTTGTCTTAATTAGGATTTCTGTTACTTTGAATAGACACCATGACCACGCCGGCAACTCTAATAAGAAAAACATTTCATTGGAGCTGGCTTACAAGTTCAGAGACTTAGCCCATTATTGTCATGGTATGTTGTTAAAGTGCCAGTCTTTTGATTTTACCAATAAAGACACAAGAGCAAGATATCGGGGTGAAAATCTACTAGCTCAGAGAGGCAGAGGAAGCACCCAGCTGTTCTTCCTACTCTGCCAACATCCCATTTGTAGAAAGCTCCTTACTCAGCTCACATCCCAGAAGGAAAAAGCCATAAGCCCAAAGCCAAAGGCTCCTTCTCCAAGTTGTCTTAAATACCCTTCTCTCAATGTCTCTCCTTTCAGTGTAATCCCTGTCAGCTGTTTTCTTGCTCCACCTCCTGGCCTAGGGTTGACTTTATTTAGCTCTTGGATTAAAGGTGTGTTCTAGGACTGGCTGAGCCACACCGTCATCTATTTACAGTAAACAGGAAGTTCTTGGATTAAAGATGTGTACTAGGGATGAGACAAGCCACAGCTAGAAACAGGTTTTTACAGATCACTACCATAGGGTTCACAGTGGGATCAAGTATCTTTCAACAACGGTGGAAAGCATGGCGGCATGTAGGCAGACATGTCCTGAAGAGGTAGCTGAGAGTTCCACATCTGGACTGCCACGAAGCAGGAAGAGAGATTCACACTAGGCCTGGCTTGAGCATCTGAAACCTCAACACCCACCCAGGGACACGCTTCCTGCAGCAAGGCCACACCCACTCCAACAAGGCCACACCTCCTAATAGTGCCACTCCCTATGAGTTCATGGGGGCCATTTTAATTCAAATCACCACAACATTCAAGCAGTTCAAAATGCAACATGATTTTTGTCATCAGTACTGTGCATCAAATTGTGCAGAATACTGAGTATTGAAACGTCTAATTGTAATACACATTCAGTGTTTGCCAAACGTGGAAACAATATAACACAACCTCTCACTGTGTTTTTTTTTTATACCATTATACAAATTGCTTTTACTATAACTGTCCTCAAATCATTCTGTATAGCATTTAGTCAAAAATGTTCAAAATTCTCACAATGCATAGAACCATTATTTCTACTAGTAAATCACCGATAATCAGACAGTTAGCAATTCATTTTTCATTTCTTACAGATGTCAACTGGTGGAGAAACTCCATGACTGTAAAGAGGGTCATGAGTGTGCAGAGATCTTCAAATTCTCTACAGAGGGCACCGTGAACCACAAATTTTATCCAGGAATACATATATGTAAAAGAAATGGGTTTGTAAATGTAGTCATCGGCCATTTAGCTCTAAATGTGCCGCTGAAACCTAGGCCAGGGCAAAACTCAAATGAAGTTCAGGAACAAGGAGAAGACCTGTGTAATAATGAGGAACTTGGGAGTTCCTCCAGCCCTCCCTTGTCTTTACAGAAGCCTCAAAGTGTTGACACCACAGAGAAACCTGATAAAACCAAGCAGCCTGATGAAGACCTCAGACTTGGTCAAAATCAGGAAAGGACTCCAGCTGAAGAGGAGCACCATGAATGTAAGCACTGTGGGAGAGCTTTCACTTCTCTGCGGTCCCTGAAGGGGCATGAACAGCATTACCACGCAAAGAAATCGTTTGTGTGTAAGCAGTGCGGGAAGGCCTTCCCGTTCCCCAGTTCCCTGCAAGTCCATGAGCGCATCCACACGGGGGAGAAGCCCTACACGTGTAAGCAGTGCGGGAAGACCTTTGGCCATTCCAGCTCTCTTCTCAGACACGAGAGAATTCACACTGGCACAAGTCCCCACGAGTGTAAACTGTGTGGGAAGACCTTTACCCGTCTGAATTCTCTTTTAAGGCATAAGATAATTCACACTGGCGAGAAGCCCTACGCATGTACTCAGTGTGGGAAAAGCTTTTCTCGCTCTGCTTCCCTTCAAAGACACACAAGAATCCACACTGGAGAGAAGCCGTACCAGTGCAAGCAGTGTGGGAAAGGATTCATCACCTCTACTTACCTTCAAGTACATGAACGAACTCACACTGGGGAAAAGCCTTACAGATGTAAGGAATGTGGGGATGCCTTCATGCTTTGGACTCAATTTCAAAAACACAAAGTAGTTCACAGCGGCGTGAATCCCTACGTTTGTAAGCGATGCGATAAAGCTTTCACGCGTCTCGGCTCTCTACAAATACACGAAAGAATTCACTCTGGCGAGAAGCCCTACGTGTGTAAGCAGTGTGAGAAAGCCTTCCTGTCTCTGAACCAGTTGAGACGGCATGAAGTGACCCACACCGGCATCAAACCCTATGTGTGCACACAGTGTGGGAAGGGGTTTGTCTGCTCTACTACCTTCCGCAGTCATGAAAAGACGCACAGTGGCGATAGCCCATATGTGTGCTCACAGTGTGAGAAAGTTTTGAGTTCTGAGGGTGCTCTGCGGAAGCATAAGATGATCCACACGGGGGAGAAGCCTTGCGTGTGTAAGCAGTGTGGGAAGACCTTCACTCACTTAAGTTCTCTTCAGTACCACGCACTGACGCACACCGGAGAGAGGCCCCACGGCTGTAAGAGATGTGGGAAAGGCTTCCGGTCTCTGAGTCACCTGAAGAAGCACGAAAGGACTCAGCACTGAGCAGAAACCTTATGCATGTGAGCAACATGGCAAATGTTTACTCAGTATCTTTTGTGAAAACAAAGTCGTTCTCACTGGCATAAATCCCTAGGTTTGTAAGCAATGTTTACAGTTTTTAAATGACTGGGTTGCTTTCACATAAGCAAACTCACACTGGAGAAAAGTGGGACTTTTGCTACCAATGTGAACATAAAACAAACAAACAATCCTTGAAACAGTCACAGTAGAGGGGAACCTTTAAAAAGATAATATAGAAATGGTTTTCGTGCTAAGTTTTCTTCAAGTACATGAATGAAGTCACACTGGAGAAAAACTCTATGAGTGTAAGTGATGTTTACACATTTTTATAGTCCCACATCATGGAAAAGACATGACAAAATTTAGACTGCAGAGAAACCTTGTACATGCTTGCAATGTAGAAAGTCTTCACTTCCCTGCTTCCTCCAAAAATGTGTAAGAAGTTAACTAGAGGGGCTGGAGAGATGACTCAGTGGTTAACAGCAATGATATTCACCCAGAGGACCCAGGTTCAATTCCCAGCACCCACATGAAAGCCCACAACTGTCTAGCTCCAGTTTCAAGAGACCCAGTGCCCCCTTCTGACCTCAATGGGCCCTTCATAAGCATGGTACACAGACACACATAATAAATGTTTAAAGTCATACTAGAGAGAAACCCTTTGTATGTAGGCGATTTTGGGCAGCCTCTCATTAGCATGGTCTCTTTACACCAACAAGAAACAAGCTACACTAAAGTAACCCCAAATTACAGTATCTTAAGAGAATTTTAGACTTGTTTATTTTATTTCACTTGTATAAGCATTTTCCCTCATGGATGAATGTGCGCCATATGTATACAGTGCCTGCTCCACCCTCAAGAGTACCTGGAGTTCCTGAGCAGCTTTGGAGGTGCTGGGAACGGAACACAAGTCCTTTGTAAAGACAGTGAGTACTCTTAAAAATGGAACCATCTCTCCAGCCCAGTAAATTCTGAACTTTTATTTATTTATTTATTTGTTTGTTTTCAAGACAGGGTTTCTCTGTGTAGCCTTGGTTGACCTGGACTTAATTTGTAAAACAGGTTGGCCTGCCTCATAGAATCTCTGCCTCACAGAGATCACCTGCCTCTGCCCCCCTCAGTGATGGGATGAAAGGCGTGTACCACCAAGCCCGGCCCTGGACTTTTATTTCTAAATTTTGTTTTACAAAATAAGCATAAGCAGCGAATGTGAGATGGATGACAGTTTATACCCGTGGAAGGGAGAACAGTAAGACTCAACACTTGAAAAACAAAACAAAACAAAAAAACAAAAACAGCTGTAGAAAGAAACGACACTACGAAACTCCCATGAAATGGTTTTGTAAGGTTTCTTAAAGCAGCAATCTATAATTTATTGGGCGATGTTTTTTTGCGTCAGATATGGTCCATGTTTGTACTTGCATTGTATATTGTGTTAGATTCATTGGTGAACTGACATTTGCTTGTAACATGCCAATGTGCATAGATGCCTTTTTTAAAAAACAATTGTGGTTAATTAAAGATGACTTTTTGAAAATATTGGAATTTTTTCACTGCTTTTATGTACCTAGTTCTGACCATTATGTGTATTCTTTTATTTTTTTATGAACAAAAACCATTTTTAAGTGTGTGTGTG